CCTGGTGGGTAATCGTCCTGGTGGGTAATCGTCCTGGTGGGTAATCGTCCTGGTGGGTAATCGTCCTGGTGGGTAATCGTCCGGGTGGGTAATCGTCCTGGTGGGTAATCGTCCGGGTGGGTAATCGTCCTGGTGGGTAATCGTCCGGGTGGGTAATTGTCCTGGTGGGTAATTGTCCGGGTGGGTAATCGTCCTGGTGGGTAATCGTCCGGGTGGGTAATCGTCCTGGTGGGTAATCGTCCGGGTGGGTAATTGCCCACCAGGATATCATTCCTGCTTACGCTGCGTGGCTTACGCGGGTGAGCATACGGGCGCGCGCTCATGTGTGTATCATAGGTGTTGTAAAAAGCCGAAAAATAAAGCCTCAAACGCCACTAGTAAGCCTAGCCGAAAAACATCTCTAGTATGACTCTGCGTGTGTGCGCGTGCGTGTGTTGTGTTTGTGTAGACGATCGTGCGGGCGTGTTAGTGCGAACGTATAATGCCGTGTGTGGTTCACGCTTCTCTGATCCCTGAGGTCTGCCATGCAGCTCAGCTAAAAACAAAAAATGTATTCCACTGTCTAGTATCTCTGCGAACCCAGTGTCTTCATTTCAATTACTTACTCATGTTTTGTTTGTTTTCAGATGACGTCTCAATCTTACTTGTGCGTTTCAACCACAAAAACCACAGTGTAAGTACAGAGACATGATCTCCTGTTATATGTGTAATAATGATTTTTTATCAGTTTGCTTCCGCGAGTTTATTTTCCCGAGTGCATATATGATTATTGAACTGTCTGCCCGGCAATCGGAAAGCGATGCGTTTCTTTTCATGCACGGCAGTTCAAGATAGACTCCTCGCGGAATATAAATAAAGATCTTGGTACATGCAGTTAGTGATACGTTGTAGCGCTACTGCGTTAAGCTCTACTCTCGGGTTCTTATCAGTGGCCTAATCCAATGACAACTGTCGAGTTTTTAACTGTGAACAATATACTTGATGCTAGTTCTATGCAGTAACTGCAGAAATTGAAACATCGTCTTTGTAAGAAAGTGCACGCACTGCGTCATCTACCGTTGGCTCTCGGTTAATATGTCAAGCAGCAGTATAGAAACATAGCCTCGAAACAACTCACAAAATTGCTAATAGTAGCCCATAAGAAATCCGTTTGGAGGATGTTTTTGGCAACCCTGTTCTTTACGATACACCACAATGCCTGTGATCATGATGACTCACGCCAAGGTTGGCTTTCGCAAAGAGGCTCATTCGTGCCAAGTTTGTATGCAGATGTAATTGTCAGTCGTCTGAGTATGGCACGCTACGTTGCTAGGAAGAAATATCCGACTAATAGCTGACAATGAGAGCAATCTTTCCAGACTGCACTGCTGCAATTAGTACTGTACTACTTTTTAATGTCCTGTGGTAAAATTGAGGATTATACAATGCAAATCGTTGTGTATTTTTCAGTGACTGTTACAACCAACGAAGTGTAATCATACAACGAGGTTCTCAATGAACTCTGTTATAATCCCCTAGTCTGTGGTCACTTTTACGCAGTCTCAATTAACTGCCTATGGATCAAAACACACCTGTACAGGACTCGTCCATGCGCTTATTGAGCAAACGTTTGTGACAAAATTTACGATATATCGGTCATCCGCTATGAAGCATCCGTGCGTTTGCTGTGTAAAACTACATTTTGAATGTGTAGCTTATTGGAGGTAATGGGTCTTACAGCGGTTCAGGCCAGGAGGGAGACTACGAGGACAACAGCGATGATGAAGACTTGCAAAATTTCTCCTTGTGCGTACCCGCTGAGAGTTCCTCGACTCATCGTCACCAGATCACTCAGGAAGAAGCAGGCTTGGAACCGATTTCTCATCCTGCAATACAAGAAGACTTGTTGCATGGTGTTGAGCCGTCTCCAGACAGTGACAGAGCCACCCTTGAACAGGATATAATGAAGGTTGCATACTCGTGCCGCCATCTACAAACTACTTTATTTATTAACCGCTTAAATATTCAGAAAGATGACTTCAGTGGCATATGGCCAAATTAGTATGCCAAGCATGCATGATTTGCGGCCTAACGACCCCAAAAAATATACATACGTACTTATTTTATAACCGTCACTTACTCATTTCTTGAAACAATGACTTATGAAATTTTTTCTTTACATTACAATAACAGCCTCAATATTAATTATTATATAACATATCCGTTTTGCTTACCAATAACAATTCATTGTTGCTTCTCTGACCGTTGATTTGATGAAACGTTGAATTCACTAGCATTAAAATTATTTGTATTTTTAGTTCATCCAACTATGGGAAGAAGAAAGAGAAGTCAATCAGCAATTGATTGAAAATCTTGACAGGAGCAATGAACGAATTCGCGACCTCGGGGATGAGCTGGGCTTCGTATCTATGGTAAGCTATAGTGTTTCTATACTGTGTTTCACGTTTACTGTCTGTCGGGTGTAGCTATACTATATACTATACTATGCTAGCTATACTATACTAATTTGTTTATGTATTCATGCATGTCTTATATACTATATCCACATCGTTCCCACTTCTGTGTCTTTATTATTCCAAATTTAGTTACGTAATTTATGCTGTAATAAATAATGTGGTTGGGCTTGGTTAACCGCCGTCAACGTCATTGTTGAGATGACAACTTGCTTTTTCAGTCAAGATATTTGATTATCTGATGTTATTTTATCCAGTGTTGTTGTTTACTTGCAGGATCTCCACAAGTTGTTGAAGGAGAACAGAAGTCTCAAGGAAGAGAATGAAGATCTGGCAATGGAAAACCAGGCTCTTATCAGTGCTATACAAAACATTAAAATATAAATCAAGGCTCGAATTGCAACCTAGTATAACGTGACCCATGCATTGTATTCATTAACCATGTTTTGCTAAACTTGAGGTTATATTTCTATCAAAGCTTTTGTCAAACTGTGAATGCTGCAAATAATAGTGATTATGCAGTAATGCCCCACGTTACGACCACCCGGGTCACCTAAATTCGCATGCATAATTTGTAAACTATGACCACCTTATTCGCAATACGTAATGAAATTTCGCTGTCGCATACTTTAAAAAAAGAATAAGAGCGTTTTCTACTGGGAGACGCATGCGTGCACATAGATGCAAGCGTGTATGTGGACGTGTGCCTACCTACACACACGCGCATGCGTGCACGCACATGCGATCGTGCACACATGCATACGCATGCACCATTATATTCCTATTCCATTATATTCCTTCCCTTTCCTCCTTCCTCCCTAGATTAATTCTAATGTTGCCATTATAATCCTTCAAATTTTTCGAAACCACTTTTAAATAGCCTTTCACACAATGTACCTCCCCCCCCCCCCCGTCGCGACCTCGGTCCCTATGTCGAACAAAAATGCTGATGGCACCCTTGCTAGCTGATAATAGTGCCCCTCCCTCTTCCTCCTATTAACTGCAAATGTGAGCGCTCCCTTTCCCTCCCAGTATTGTCATGATACTGTGTTACATCATTAATTAAATTAATCAATGTGTGCGTTTATAAAGGTTTACTTCCATTCATACTTGTCGTATCTTTCTAGTTTGAAAATTTTCCGTAGAAACACATCTACAGGTAATGGCAGCTACCATATACGTATAAAGAAAGCTAGTCAAAAGGGAAACATTATTCACGCTACGAATTATCGTGATACAACGGTTTCCCTGGGACGTATCATTTCCATAACGCGGGGTACCACTGCATATGATTATGGTTTAATATAGCAGGATAGGATTAAAAACGCATAGAAGCTCTTACTGGTGAGCAGTTGGATCCTGCCTTTGGCTAAGACAACATGAATGCGCCATGTCTTTCTGCGTAGTATTTATTTACTGCATAATATCATTTTCGTATGCGTATTTGCCAGCCAGTTAAAAAACAGCAACAGTTATGCTTATAATTAATCAGGTGTTTACCGTGTGGCGCTTGTCAGAGCCGTAGCTGCTGACTCATTTTGCCTTATTGGGATGGGGTAAAGACATACGTGGTACATGTTCTGGGCAGTTGACCGTAAACACTTCGTGTTTGCATGCTAATGACCATGTAATATTTTCTCCGTTGATCTGTTAGGTGGCAACTGCCCTTTTGTCCCTGCTAGCTTCAGCCTTGCTAGTACCTGCTAGCTGCAGCCTTGCTAGTACCTGCTAGCTGCAGCACACAATATAGCACTTAATTTTCATTGGATAGTGATAGCTAGTGTTAACAATAGACAGGTGTACGTTTTGCCCTTTGAGGCATTTTGCCCAATGGTCATACATACATGACACTGCTCTTATTTTTTATTAAGATTTTTCTAATCGCGATAAATTAGTTTGTTTTTTGGCCTTTTTATGGGTGGGTTTTATATGTAATGATGTTTTGATCAATAGCTATTAACGACGTGCTAAGGTGTGGCTTTTGTATGCAATACACTCGGTATACTATAGTTGTATTTAAAAGTTTTATAAGGTTTGGGAGTAATCTTGTGAGTAACACCTAACTGATGGGAAGTTGATAATATTAGTGAAAAATTTATCACTGGACTTACCGTCATTGTTGTTGTATATATAGTGTATACATTGTATCAAATAGTATCATATAGTGAGAGAGAGATGATAAACAAGGAAAACTCCTACTCTAGATGGTTATAATTTATGTCTGATTACTATTTCTTTTTTTATAAAGAGATTTGTAATCTTATATAATCTTCACGAATGTGACTCACATGATATATAATTCTAACTTGTGATTGTTGCAACGTCAACGTAATTCGTTACATGAAATGTGGAAATTACAAAATGAAAATGATACTTCTAAAGATATATGCTATTATAATGATGGGTTATAATTAGTTATATAATATAAACCAATTAGATGTAGGCCGCATATACTGGCCATTTATTTTTAGTTATTTTTTTATTTTCTAAAATTAATTCTGCAATCCTGTTCACATTGATTCCTGCGGTAACCATTTTTCAGAATAACTCTAGAAGGAAATGGCTTAGGCTATTTATATTTAGCGTGTAGTATAACTGTTCGGAGATCAGGAAATGTTCAGGATGGACATGGTAAAAACTTTTCCAGTTATAAACTATTTTCTGGCACATTTTTCTGCATGGATTATTCTTTTTATATGTGTCTGTAGTTAGGTATGTGTAGTGATGTTTGTCACCCTAAAATAGTGGGTTCGGTGGAGAATGCTTTTTTTCTCGAGAAAGCTTTTTATGCGGTCTCAAACTCTCAACGCATACCACCATGTTTAGCTAAAGAGTGGAATTTCCGTATTCAACTTGCAAGTGACAACTCAATTTATGAGGAACAACACAAATTCGCGTTTCATGCATGTCTGCTTTTCATTATTTATGTAACGTGAGTTTCTTTCCATTGGATCACAATGTTCAAATTAGGTAGAACCATAGATATGTAGGCCTACAAACACATGTGTTTTTATATATTTATAGTAATACTAACGTAATTAAAATAAGCAATAAGAACTTAATAAAATAATGTTAATTTAATAGTATTTCGTGAGAGATCAAGTACTGGGTTGCATGTGAATTTTTCCTTTACGTCTTTTTTCATATAGTTGAATAGTGATATTCTCAAGTGACAATATAATCAAATGCGTTATATGTATTACAAAATCTCTGAAAATTAGGAGAAATTTTGCTTGAAATCTATCTTAATAAAGTAATGAGTTGATGCTCGTTATTGTATAAAAAATGAACATATATGTTGGAAAATAATAAACATTGTTTTTAAAACATCAACATGTCGTACACCATGAGTAGTTGATGTTATGATATACGCATGTTGTAGAATAGACAAGTGCATAAAACACCATAAGGGCGTTTGACCGCGCCTAAAAACTAGAAAGCAGTTCAATCCGCTCAAGCAAGCCGAATAATACCCAAGCAACGATTATATCGTACTTTTTCACCTATAACACAAAGCCTATGTACAAAGGCAACATTTCAGTTATTAGGTATGGGTATGGAAGTATAGTTAAGAAAGTGAGAGAATGGTGTAGAAATTTCTCATGCCCACCTACTAACTAGCACTAGCACAATCACCAACATTTTTTCGCACAGGTTGCTCGACCCTTCCGCGACTAATGTTAGACGTTTTATATTTGTTGAAATTATGCAATTGAAGCGGAGAGCACATCTCCACGGGAACTGTTGTTTTATTGGCATTGTACATTCACAGCAGAAAGCACATACTCACGACAGGCGCGGATCCAGAGGATAATCGATACTACATATGCGATGCCTACGTCATGAGACATTGTAGGAAATGTCGTTGGCGATGTATCAGGTGAGCGCTCGCTGGACGGCGTTTCGTGCTACGAGTAAATAATTACACGCTTGAGTGAAATTTCATATGGCGACAGGCGCGGATTCAGCAGTCTAAATTCTGAAGAAAAGTGCGAGATCAGTCGCCGAATGTGGAGCGGGGAGCATTGTCCCGCAGATTTTTTTTATAAGGAATACGATTACAATCCGATAGACTATGGTCACGATTCTTCTATTTCTAAGCACTTTATTCCGTTCAAACTAAGAAGGAAATAGTAACCCGATCCGAGAAAAAAAGCAGGCATACAATCACGATAAATGAGTTCTGAACCCCTGGACTCCGGGTGGACCCGCGCCTGCACGAGTAGTTTACTATGAAAAATATATTTACCAATGCTCCACTTTAATAGATGTATTGGCTCGAAGACTTCCGGAATTTTCTAATACTGTAGCATGCTGTGTGATTAAATCTGTGTTAGCGCATGCATAGTATTTGTTAAAATACATGTATTGGTATGCTGAAATTATAGATGTAAGTAGAGAGTATAGAAAGTAGAGAGCGCATAGTGACGAGTGTTTTGCTATAATATAAAACGTGTAACAGGGTCGTAGCTATAGCCTCCGGGGAGGGAACAGCTGAATACCTTGGGTTTTTAAGAAATTAATATGACTAATAAATGTAAAAAATTGTCAAATACATATGATACAAAATTCAATAAATCGTCAATTTAGCGTAACCTTGTCCTAAATGCGATTTATTTCATGAGTCCGCAATTAAGTAATCTTCGTCATTACTCATTTAGGTTACGAAATTTTCCCTCCTGCTCTCTTTGAATTCTCCAACGCCATGTTGTTGCAATGCTAATAATTGACGCTGTAATAATTGTTGGTGCAATACATTGTTGCTGATAATTGCCTCACCTCATATAACGGGTACAGTTATGGAATTAAGCCCGGCGCACACGTGAGTTATTTTACTCAAGTAAAATGACGCATGAGTCAAATTACTCAACGAAAATCCGCCGCACACGTCAGTAAAATGACTCATGCGTCATTTTACTTGAGTAAAATAACTCACGTGTGCGCCGGGCATTACGTACCGCACAGAGAAAGATGATGCAACAAATTAGCCGCAAAAGCGCGGACCGAAAATCGTTCGGTACAATCTTCGCTTTAAGAAGAGTGCTTATGGGATTTTATTCATTTGTGTTTCGTGTATTAGATTAGTTGATTTTAACCAATTCCAGCAGCTACCATATTACCAAATACTAATATGTATTATTATTATTATATAATTATACTAATATATAACAAACAAAGCAAAAAGCGCGCACCGTCCAAAAACAATTTCGGAGCGGTTATGAAAAAATACAGGTATATATACAAAAACACGCACATGATTTGTCGGTCGGACGGCCAATACTTTATTACTCAACTACAAGAATGGGAAGGAGTCTATGTTTCCCGGTTGCGTTTATAAACCTGATAAAAGATACATGGGATAGATCAATGCTAGGCCCATATCGACCCGTCTATACCGCGGCAAATTCATTTGAGTGCCAATGGATTTATAGAATGATGGGTTCTGGTAAAGTGGATGGTAAGGCCGAAACAGGCTAGGGGCGAGTATGAAGGACGTGCAAGTGTGCTGCTTGGGAACATGATGAGTTGGTATTACTATTAGGACGCAGCAGGGAAAAGGTGTATGATAGGTAGATTGTGAGGAGAATACCATATGGTAAGAAATACGGGTGTGGTATGGAGAGATACATATAGATGGCCAAGCGCTTGGATTATAAAGGGAGGCAGAGTGAACACCTGCGTTTAAATGAATGATTCTCTGGGTTCGTCGTATACTATGAAAAAATTAATTATATTAGCAAAAGACACTAAAATATTTCGGTAAATTTGATCTCTCTTGATGATAAGGAGCTGCTGCTACCTGGCGATGGTTTCTGGAACTAGGTGGAAATTTTTGCTGTTTGGCGCCATGTTGCTACGTGAGTCGGAACGAATGAGGAATAGCCAACACCCCTCTGCGATGCAATGACATTTTCGACATGTTCATTATGGTTTTTGTTACACAGTGAATGTCTACTATGGCTCGGTATTTGATCCTATATCCACTGTGTGCTGTGCATAGGCGCCTATTTTTATGAGCGATAGATCGTTAGGATGTTATCGTATTGGTAAATATGTTCATATGGATCGTGCATTGTCCGATTTCGCCGGAGGACACATTTAAAGAGTGATGTGATGTCTGCGTTGCTATCCTACTGTCGTTAGAATAATTTTGTGAATTTTCTTTCTTTTCCCCCGCTCATTTTAGGTGCATGAGTGACTGCGTACCGTATTATTCAGTTTATCAATATACACGGACAAGTGTAGCATCGATCAGGGATAAGCGGTAACCTATTTCGTGCGTAGAAATGGCCAAAGAACTCGGTAAAGATCCCTTGACATACGAAAGGGAGAAGCAGGCATTTCTCGACGAGCTGAAGCAATTTCATTCGTCAAGGAGGTAAGCAGTTCAGTAATGATAGTTGATACCTATATATCCCTATTTTAATGTCTGAGTTCTAATAAAATTAATCAGGATCATCCCAAGTTTTCCTTATGTGTGCTTGTTATTGTATTTACAGAACTCCTCTGAGTCGTTTACCTACAATAAGTGGCAGGGAAGTGGACTTGCATCTGCTGTACCACAAAGTAACGTCGTTGGGTGGCTGGAACAAGGTAGGCCTACCTAATTCAGTGCTTAACTGTTGACTGTTGTCACGTGACTACTATCGCTACAACACTGCTCCACAGTTCAAGTTCAAATTTACCTCCACAGCTTAGGTCATCTAGACATTATTGCACATGCAGCCACTGTACTGTGTGGGATTGATTTAGATCAGCTGCGCATTGCATGCACTGATGCAGTCCGCGAGCAGTGTTCTCCTGTGTGTGCTTTGGTACAGCATATGTGCATTTGGCGATTTTGTTCCAAATAAACTATAAGGATGAGGGCAGGGCATGAAATTTAGATTTTTTTACTGTCCCAGGGGCTGGTAACAGCAGTTTTTTTTACCGGCCTTCTGATTTTGTTTTTTTGAAAATAAAGAAGACTGACTGAGTCTTGTTTGTCCAAAAAATGTTGTAGTGTGCAGCATCGCTTAGTAGCTATTAAACAGACTATCATGCAGATCGTGATTGATGTCCAAAGTGTTTTTGTTACTGTCATGTGTCACGCTTCCACTCTCGATTTCAAATTTGTAAAATGTTGATAAATCATGGTGTGATATCCTTCAAGTAAAACAGTAATGTAGGCTATTTGCTCATTAATGCTATCAATAAATATGTAGGTATTCGCTATCACGGCTGAAACCACCAGCTCAGAGGGCCGGTGTTTTGCCAATGTTACTGGCCCTCCAAATAATTTGCCGGCATATGCCATTGGGTCGGTGCTAATTTTGCGCCCTGGGAGGAGATTTTGCAAAGGAAGTGTGTAACTGCCAGTCTATGTCAGGTCACTTAGTGATAAGACTAATCCTACTGATTTCGACAATGTCAGTTTGTTTAATCCTGTTAAACCTACTATGTTTATATCATGTACAGGTGAAGGTGTATGCGTAGGAATGTGTGTAGACAGTGCCAGACTTATTTATGTATGCTGTCTTCCTAAAATAATTACAGTAGCTTATCTGTACCTGTTTGCACCCACACACGCATGCACACAACATGCTTACATATTGCGCACATACATACAGATGTAAACTGACCGTTTATACGTCTAGGTAGCCTTTGATCTGTCACATAAGTATTTAATAATTGCTATACATAATTTGCATGTATTTGCTAGTTTTTGAAGTTATCGTGTTTAATGAGTAACTGTGTAGGAATCCCACTAGGTTTCACAACCAACAAGAATTTTGGTTGTGATTTGATATCGCAGATGGTAACAAGCATCAGCTTGTAACCAGGAAGTGGGTATATAGATATATGTTATTATATATATATCAATATCAAGAGCTAATAAACACCTAGAGTGTACAACAGGAAAACAGTGCTATTTCACGGCAATATTATTCTACTTTGCCTGCGAATCTAGAATAAGTTCATGGTATTGCCTTTTAAGCAGCATTCTTTGCTCTCTAAAACAAGACCAACTGCTTGTCTCTACGATACTCCTAGGCCGAGATATTGGTTCGTAAACCTCCCCTCCCACAGGCCTCACGTCACCTCGCATCCAGATTATTCCCGAACCTTCTTGCCTTTTGCAGGTTAGGAAAGTCGCTTCGTGAGAGTTCTTTATTTCCGCGATGACTTTATGAATGAACGGCGTTTCGGTTATCATCGGTGACTTTCAGGGCATCACCTAGGCCCTTATCTCCCATTATCTTTTCTAGCAGGCTAATGCCCGTAATGATGGAGCCTTGTTTTCTAAATTAATTTTCTACAACGCAGCTCAGTTACTATGGTGTAGTAAGAGTACCAAATTTGGGCATGTGACATCAATTATCAGCGCTCCAAGCGGCGCCACGATAGCCAGAATCATTAAGCATGAGAAGGTTCGGGAATAATCTGGATGCGAGACAGCGTGAGGCCTGTGGGAGGGAAGGTTTACGAGCCAATATCTCGGCCTAGGAGTAGCGTAGAGACAAGCGGTTGGTCTTGTTTTAGAGAGCAAAGAATGCTGCTAAATGCAATACCATGAACTTATTCTGGACTCGCAGGCAAAGTAGAATAATATTGCTGTGAAATAGCACTATTTCCCCGTTTTCCCGTTGTACACTCTATGTATTTATTAGCTTTTGATATATATGCATGGTGTGATATTTGCGTAGTACTAGGGTATTAAAGGATGGAATGATATCTAATTAAATTTGGCACAATTTCGTATAGAATTGTTGACCCATGAAAGCCATGGGAGCATGTAATTTTGCCATAGTCATGCATGCACACCCACCTGATTATTTCTTTGGTTAATTTTAAGGTCAGTGACCAAGAGCGATGGGGAGAACTTCTGGGACTATTTCATTTACCAAGAGCATGCGGTAATGCAACTGAAGCCCTTAAGCACATTTACATCCGGTAAGAAAATCTGTACGATTCATAGGTGTATATGTGTGCGTGCGTGTGCGTGCGTGTGTATTTTTTATTGCAAGTAATGTGGGTTTGTCAGCACAGTAATTGTTCATACAGTCCATAGTCTGAAACTACCAGATTTATTCACGGGCGAGTTAAATTTAGTAAAAACTATTCAGGAGGACTATCTGACAGTCAGGGTCAACAAAATTAGGCACCGTTAGTTTTTGACTAACACAAAGACACACTTTTCTGCAAGTTGTTATAACTTGATTTTATGTAAATGAAACCACCAATTATCAAATATTCGTTATCACGCACGTTAATCAGTAACATGGACGAGCCGTGTTTGTTACTTATGGTGTGACATAGGCTACCAGATTACAAAATTAAGTATTCCGTGTAACTACCAGGCAAAAAAATTTGAATTTCGCACTGCCTCGTGAACAATTCCTATACGTTTTCATCCTAATGTTGTGAGTTTCAAACACAAACAAATGGTAGGTTGCAAGCAGAGAAAAAAAATGCACAAGCAAGAAGGAATTATTATTTTCTCTATGTTGCTGTAACTGTGCAGTAAGAATGATCAAAGTTCTTGAGATGAACATGAACCAATGGAAAGGCATGAAGAGACTTGCTACGTATATATATGTCGTAATATACATAATATATATATACAGTATGTTCCAGTCATTAATAGGTTATCGTACCAGTGTGATTGTGCATAGATTGAATAAGTGTTTCGCTTTCGTGTTCTGCGGTGAAGCCAGGGTTCAACCGTTCAAGGCGGAAGAGGTGCTTTTCTTTATGGTCGGTCTATACTTGGTAATCTGGCGTAAGCTAACTAGTATTTGCTCATGCGTAGTGTAAGAGTCCCCCGGTCAGATCAGCTGTTCCAGCGGGTGCGTACTGTTACTATAGCTCTCCTGCTCTCGCTGGCTGCTGTGGTAGAGGTCACAAGTGGGCCATGTGTGGGCGATATTGCACTGGGTGGAGAGAGTGAGCGTGGTGTAGTGTAGAGGCTGTGTTGGTGCTGCTGCTGCTGCTGCTGCTGTAACATGTACACCCGGCAGTGAACGCATCACGGTCACGTGTGAGTGGGTGTGATGCTTTAATATTGACCGTTGGCATGCGTAAGTATTTCATTCACGACGTTTGTACTCTCGTGTTGCAAACGGTAGCAGGTGTATGCATACGTGCGTGCGTGTGAGTGCCTGTGCGTGTGTACATGGCATCGACCACCCACCACTGAAGCCACAAAAGAGCTAACCACTTTTATGGGGTGTACCTCAAAGGGGAGTATGGTTTCAATGTAGCTGTTAAGATTTTGATGGCATTCTGATCGGAGCATGTGTTATTTTGTCCATTTCACGGGCAGCTAATAAGTGAATGTGGGGCGTTTACTGCTAAAACACATTTCCTAATATTTCTTCAATGTATTTTGGAATGGTATTGATTGAATGTAGTCAGTCAAATGTGTTGTGAAGAAATTTCTTGTCCTGAAAGTTTGCAAAGCAGAATAATTTGGGAAGATGTCCCAGGATTACTTACATATAATTTCTTTACTCACCTGTAGTATGCTGTCAGTTCTGTACATTGAATCATCGAATGACTCTTACTCCGATACATTCCAGCTGCCTATTGATACCTTGTGCTTTTGTGCAGATATGACTCATCAGAAGTACTCTGTAAAAGTCAATATGTTATTATGTCTTGGTCGAGTTAATTTCTGAATATTCTGCTTGCTGCTCCCCAAGGGTTGTAAATCTAAGAAATGTTATAAGCTATTTTGTGTAATTATATATATGCGAGTCAGAAGACGGGCTGTGTTGGCGGAGGCAATGTATTGATCGACCGTTGTGTTGCGATAACAACGTTGCCATCTATTTACAGGACTGACATAAACGGTGGGATAATGTTGGGTGTATTTCTATCTTCTTTGAACAAACCGTGTTCTGTTCATAGATTTTGTTTGTGCATAGGGGCATAAGGCATATACATGCATTGCACGCATCCACACATACATGCGCGCGCGCGCGCGTAGCTGCGGTGGTAGGTGTGATCTTTATAATATTTGCAGCCTTAATGGTTAAAAAAAAGCATTTTGACAATGCAATTTCTCTTATTTGTGGGGTTGAATGCCGCTTTATTGTTATGTTGTCTTGACTGTCTGTCTGACTCTTGTCTTGTTGTGAATTTGTATGTAGTATTCTTGTGTGTATGTAGTTTGCCTGACTTCAATCTGTTCATACTTCAGGTTTGTTCTTACCTCACGTAGGCAGGGATAAAAGTTTTGACCAAGGCCAAGGGAATGCTATGTATTCGTTCATCCAATAAAGGGGGAATTCTCCAGCAAAATGGGGTTGTCTAAAGTTCAAACCTAAAATAACATGCCAGAATGAAATAAATTTATCTACTTGTACATTGCTATAGAATATTTTGAAAAAACTGAAAGCAGCATTGCACTGTTTTTGGATATTTGATATATTTTTAAGAATCTTCAGGGAGTCAGTGAGAGATGCCTGCTGATGTTAAACCAGGGAGTCTGAAAGTAAAGCAGAAATATGGCCCCAGACTCGTGTTAATTTCGTCCTAAATGGCATATATATACATCGTTGTAAAGGGGAGCAACTCATCGACTGCCTTTAGTAAATACACGAGTCTAGTCCCGCATTATATGCAAATTATTTTGTCGCGTGCAACTTTTGCCAAGCGACAAAATCAATAGTTTTGTTATTCAGTTTCAGTATTTAATTAGAGCAGCTTTTGCAACGGGTTTGCTGTGAATCCGAAAGGCGCGAGAATGCTTGCAATGCCTTGGATTGCCTGATTGGGTGGATGCTCGCTGATGCAGGCAAGCAACGTGCAGTACGAAGTGCTACACGTGTCTCCTACCTTGTCGTGACGCCTCTCTCCTTGTCAGTCGCGTTTCACTGCACTTCCTCTTCTCCGTTTATCGTGCGAATAACAATTGAAGCAATGAAAAAGAGTAGAGAAATGAGAACAAAAGCATGGAAAATATAGGTTACACATTTAGTTTCCTTTTTTGCGCACGATTAGTCAAGCCAGTTCTACCAGCGAAATGCTGGGTGTGTGATCAATAATTCATAATATGATCATCAGGGCATTGTCCACGTACAAACCTGACTGTACACTGACAAAAATGGTACTGTGTTTCAAAATAAGCATGTCACAATGTGCATGCGATGACAATATATCCTAGCTGCTGAGCTCAAGATTACAAATGTGTGTGATGCTATAATATGGATTGTCCGAATTAAATATAGGTAGTTTCTCATTTGACACATCTCACAATCCGTACAGTCATGTCTGTGCTCATTATTCTTGCATACATAATATATGGTAAAAGCAGTTTGCAAGTTGGCAATTGGTGAGAATGTGACTATCTTGTTTCTCATTTGTCTCTAATAACCGATCGGACATTAAACAATAAATATAGTTTTCGACCTTGTTTCCCCATGATTCCGCTTCCTTACTCATGTGATCGATGATGCTATGCTTGGTGAGTTGCCTTATGACTACTGCTTTCTCGTATAGATTTGGCGATATTTACTTCTGTACAGCGAGTGGTGTTGACACTGAGCAGCTGTGCAGCGGTGGTGGATGCGTGCACACATTTGTGTACAGTACATGGGCAGAGAGAGCTGTAAGACCGATATCTGTGTGTACCTGTGATAACGCCGCCGTGCATGTGGGTGGTAATGTGCTGGGGACGCACTATTTGGTTGCTTCACTAGTAAGTGTTATATAGGCAAGTAATTTTTAGCGGTTATGGGTGGATGCACATGTGCGCAAATGCGCTATGTTCGTATACACACAGTTTCGCGTGATGAACTGGCACAACTGTTTCACCATTCGAAGTTCCGACCAGTACATGGCCATGTGTTTAACGCACCATATATATGTGTGCGCGTTCGTGCGCGCGTGTCTACTATGTGCGCGTGCGTGCGCTCGCTCGCTCGCGCGTGTGTTTGTTTGTGTGTATGAGCACGCGTGCGTTCGTGCGTGTGTGTAGTACAGGTGTGAGTCACTACGCTGGTCTTACTACAGAACTGCTGCTGGGTGGGTCGTGCAACACCACTGTGTTGTGATGATCAACGCAAGTTTTAATAGAATGGCATCGGCACTGCTTATTAATATCAGGAGTGAATAATAGAGATCTCTATTATTCACTCCTGTTAATATTATATCCGACATCCTAGTCGGCATTGTCTATCGAGTTCCGGCAACTGGTCTCATCGGTAGTTGTTACGGATTCGAAATTCGTCTAATTACAGTAGTGGAGAGGCCGTTAGGTGGCCTGCTGGTATCTTTGCTCGCGGTGTGGTGGCGCTTGGCGGGGCATAAATCGGAGCCCAACAATAACGAATCGATATGTGTGCTGTCGTTAGAGTCACGTCGCGCAGCTGTTGACTCCCTGCAGCCCCGGTTAACAGGTTATACACTCACGCACCGGCAGAGATTGAACATATAGCTCGCAAGGATGGAGCCGGTTAGATTACGCTTTAACTCTGCGACGGCACCCGTCGTTGTTAGTGATCCTATTGCTGCTGCTGTTGTTGCTGCTGCTGCTGCTGCTACGGTTGTTCGGGATAGAGAATCGACAATTTGCAGACACAGCGGCCGTAAAAAGCACGGGCGTGTATTTTCCGCACCCAGCGCTTAATTAATCTGATTATGACGACATTTGACGAGTATCGATTCGTGATGTACCGTGACTAGCGGTGTCGATTCAATGTTGAGGGAAATGCGTGGCTATGTCAATGTGGCTTTATCTCACCGAGCAGGGAAATTCTCTACAGTCGTAGTCGACGGTAGCCACTGGTGTGTTAGCCGAGAGTTGAAATCAGCAGCCGTTAATACTCTGTTTGAGCCCAGGTCAGCCATCCCGTGTCATTCTCATCCAATGTTAGAGCTTGATTCTCGCAGCAACGGTGCAGATAGAGAACGACATAGCTAGCAAAGCTAGAAAGTACTGCGGGATA